TTATATGGATATTGATTATATGGATAAGCTTGTTGTGCTCGTGGATCTGCTGGACAAAGTATTTATTTTGATTGTGAAGTTGTTTCACCATATAATCAATATGCTCAACCACGTTGGTCACGATCTGGCAATCAAGTTAATCACATTTTATATTCTAGTTAATAAAATATATACATTTTTTTTTCTTTGCATGTTTTAGCCATTACCATATAAAGTGCAGAGTACAACGCTTCCAGGTAATCGTAAACTTGCACGACTTGCAATTCCAGATGCAACTCAGAGTGATGCTGGTCGATATGAATGTAATGGTGGTACTGGTAATGCAAATGATCAAGCTTCAATTGATTTACAAGTACATTAGTTTTCTATTATATTCATATTGTAATCATTTTTATTTTAAGGTAACTGAAGGTGGTTATTATCCTCGACAACCAGCGCAACCTCAACCACAACCACAGCCACAACCACAATATCCTCCATATGATCCATATAATCAATATCCATATAATCAACCAAATTATTATCCTGCTCAACCACAGCCACAACCACAACCACAACCTCGTCCTCAACCTCAACCACAAACTCAACCTCCGCCACAGCCAGCTGCTGACGATGGAGGTAACGATGAAGGAGATGAGGGTGAAGATGCTGGCATAGATGAAGATCAAGAACCAGCAGCTGAAGCAACAACAACAATAAAAACAACAACTCCACAAGCATCTGCAGCTCAGGAAGAAGGTGGTGAAGGTGGAGAAGATGAAGGTGAATATCCTGAAGATTATACGGAAAATGACAAGTAATAAACGAAAAATATGTAGTAATAGTAGTAATTAAACACAGCCAAGCGAATTCTATTTTCTATCTCGCGTTTATAACAACACTAGAATAGATTTATTCAATTCATTCATTCATTCATACAGTTCTTTTTTTTTCTTGTATGTTGTGTCTTTTTCTATAATTAATAATTGTCGTCTTTTCTTTCCATTTTGTTTTTATTAAAAATATAGAAATGTCACTAATTAATCTATATGATATTGCACTATTGTTGATATAAAATAATTAACTTCTTATTATTTCAACAAACAAAGATATATGTATACATACTTTTTCAAGTATCTATTCTCTTTCTATTATGTCATTCTTTGTATAGTCCTATAAGATAAAACATGGTATATACATTATGAACAGTTTTATCTATAGTAGTTTGATTAATTGAATTGATATTACATATTAAAGTATCTAGAATATTGCAAGATTATATTTTATCTTGTTTTAAAATGGTCATGACAGATATGAAGAGTTAAGCAAAATTCAGAAAGAATTTTTCTTGTTCAAACATATATAAGTGGAACGGACATAAGTATTATCATGTACGATATGAATATATTGCTTTAATTAATGACACATCTGATTAATCTCACAAGTAGAATTAGTTTTTATAAGAATATCATCAAAATAAAAAAATCTCGTATTCTGTGAAACAATTTTCAGACTCAAACAGAAAAAATGTCATTCAATGTTGTTAAAAACACAATTCAGATACATGTCTTAGTAACATAACAAGCACAACTCGTAAAACTTCATAACCTTATTTCAAACCTTGATCAGTGAATTAATTTTATTATCAATATATAACAATTGTCCAATATTTCAGTTATTATTACCTGCTCATACATGTAAACTATTGATTTAAAACAATTCGTATATAAGACGAATGTTGTAGATTGTTTATCTTAAAGTTTTTTCATGAGCTTTGATTGTAATATGAATAAATGATTGGTTCGGTAGTAATTGGTATTGACCTTACACGAGTGCAAATAGTACATTCAATATAAAGATAATAAATTTATACCTTTTTTTATTGATTGTTAAAATATATAAAATGTATTTTTAGTTTTGTTTTTTATTGAGTAGTGTAAGTTAAAAATAAATCTGTTAACAGCTATGAAAAGAATCTATTTTCCTAGCAGTCGACATGATTATTTAATAGTCTAAAAATTGAAGATGTTTGAATAATAAACTTTTATTATTTTATCGCGTTTTGGATTAAAAAGGACGTTTTTATAACAGTTGTTGTCGCGTACTCAGAATTACTTGAAGATAATAGAAATGATTATTTTATATAGTTTTCTCAATAAACAGGATTATTATGATAAGATAAATCATAGATTTAGTTATAGCAAATAAAAGTAAAATTTACTGTTAATCATTTAAAGCGTGAAGAGTTTGTAAAAAATTCTACGAACATTAAAAAGAGTAAAAAATCAATTACTTCAATTTTCTATATAATATTTAATTCTTTATTGAATCATATGAGTGACATCTTCATCAATAAACATTTTTAAATGATTTTGATGGTGTTCAAAACCGAAAGATTTAATCATGTGAAAAATCAAAGCAATGATTGATATTTGATTTATTGTATTTTACATTTTTCGTATATTGAATCTATAAATAGACATACAGTCAAAGTTAATAATAGTATTTAAATGTGTAAAGCTTATCGCATTGATGATAAATTGTATCAATAAACTATCACGCACAGATATAGACAAATGTTTTGCCATTGACAGTTAAGCGATGATTAATCCCGTGGGTTATTGAATTAAAAAACAACTTCAATTTTTTTTTCTTGTTAATTTACGCATGTCGATTAGCAACATTAGTATGACGTGTATATCATTCTATTTTTACTTCGATGGTACAATTATGATTGAAATATATGTGGGAAAATGGCACATACAAGAAAAAAAGCATGAAATAAAACATTGACATAGTCTATTCAGGTAGAGAAAATGTGGCTCAAAGGTTGATTTTTTATATTTATATATGTTAATTGTTGTTCTGGGTATGGCGATAAACATATGCCTACAGATTTTACGAGACATAAAAAAATTCCTTTTGAAAAAGCAATAATTCGATACGAAAAATCGTCCGAAATTTTTGTTGTTTCTTTCTTATGACCGATGGTATGATCATCAATTGGTTGTATGAACTCAATCAATATGACTAAAATCATATATCTTTCTTTTTTTTTTCAAGTTCACATCAGTATATTTTATTTGTATATGTACATATATACTTATTGAAAAGGAACGGCAACATTGATAGTCTTTCTCTTTTTTTTTCATTATTCGAATATATACATATAGGTATGCTTTGAAAATGAATTTATTTTGTCCTTCAATAGCTGTAACATTGAAGAGAATGATGGTTTGCGTTGGTATGTGCTGTGCGTTGATGATATGTGTGCATTTTATGCGCAGTACATAGAAGGAGAAAAAGAGAGAGTGCGCGCGCGCGAAAGAGACATAGCAGAGTTGACGAAAAGAAAAGTACACTCTAGGAGTGACAAGCAGTAAAGAAAAAAATTCCATTAACATAAAACATATATCGAAATAGAATAAATGCTACATCGTTTTATATTTAAGTTTGTATAGGTAGAAAGATCATGTGAATATTGTTAACTTAAAGTACATATTGATATGTTAGTCTTGCTTTTTGACCGTGACATGTATGAGAATAAACAGGTTGAGACCTATCTAACATTTCTATTATATATATATATGTATATGTAGTTTTAAATGAACAAGAAATGAGTGACCGAGTTTATTACTATTATGACTGAACAAGGGAGTACAGTGAGTTAGTAAGAAGAAAGAAAGAAGAGAAAAAGAATAATAAAAGAACTGTAACCGCACCAGAGAGTAACGAATGAAGAAAAAGTTGCATCGACTACAAACGAGCACACGCAACAGCTCCTTCGACTTGCGCCATTCGTCATTTGCTGTGCTTCTTCTTCTTCTTCTTCTTCTTCTTCTTCTTCTTCTTTTACCTACTTCTTCTCTTTACCGTCACCGGTTTTACGACTGCAGTTGCTGTTAAAATAAAGAATGAAAAAGAAAAAAAAAAACGGAGAAAAAAAAAGAGCCTCCATCAATATACTCGTCAACTCAAACATTTTTCTCTTTTTTTAACACTTTTACATAATTCGTCTCAGCATCTATATACTACTACTGACTTGTCATTCGTTCTTTTAAATTAGTTTTTATATACTTAAAAATCACACAAATTATTTCAAAATAAAATGGTTGTCTTTTGGAAAATCATCATAAGTGTCTTATTACTCTATACTATTGGTAAGTGTTATAGTTTGTTATCTTTTTCTTTTTTTTCTCAGAGTAGGTGTGAGACAAGTAGATATCCTTGAGTATATGTCGACAACATACACATAAAAATTAAAATAGTGCCTATTTTTTTATGAAGTTTCAAAAGACATTCTTTTTGTTAATTTGAAATTAACAAGGATAAAAAAAACGAATGATTTTATTATCTTTGAATAAATCTACTTTCGTCGAAAGAAGATGAAGCAAAGGTTAGACAAGGATCAACAAGAAATCTATATACAATCGTATGTATGTATGCATGACAACATATTGACAATGACCTTTTCCATGAGAGAATATAACTATAAACGAATATTATTTCAAGTGTATTGACATTAATAAATCAATGCATCATTGATATATAATAAATAATTTTCAAAAAAAAAAACTGATCTCTATTTTAAGCAATCGATGGAAATCGTGCTCGTCGACGCCGTCGACAAACTTTATTAAATCCACCTTCTAATCCTCATAATCAAATGCCATTGCAACAAAATCCTCAAGGCCAACCTTCTCAACAACAAGGTGGTCAAAATGAAATTATATCAGGAAAACAAGGTGGTCGACAATATTATCCATATCAAGGTCAAACTGGTTATGGTTATGGTAGTGTCCAAGGTTTGAACTATCCATATGCTGGTGCAGGTGTTGGCTCATATAATTATGGATATGGACAATGTAAGATAATAATAGTAAATATAAATTATTTATTCTAAAATTTTATTTAGATGGACAACAAGGACAAGGATTAGGAGGACAATATGGTGCTTATTATAATCAATATCCAGGTTCAAGTAGTTTCTATGGAGGTTATAATAGTGCTGGTTATAATAGTGGTGGTTATAATAGTTATAATCGTCCTGGCTATTCAAATTATTATCCATCCTCAGGAAGTAATATGTATGGTGGATACTTTTGGAATGCCGGACAAAAGCACAATGTCAATATGTTTACTGTATTTCTTTCTTCAATACTCACATGTATTATTTGTTTAATTACTGTTTGAGCTTCATATAAGACTAATGACAAATAATATTACTCTCCACTAGAATGCTCATATGTGCTTTTTTTTAATGTAAATACCTCCATTAATATCTATACGTTTGCGTGTGTCCGTTTTCTTCTTTTATATTTTCACATATATTACAAAAAGGTTGTTTTTTTTGACAAGCACCATATACTAAAGTTTTTTCTTGTTTGGTTGTACTTATTTTATAAACTGCTATATTTAGTTTAGACACGTTTCTTTCTTTTATCTTCTTTTTGATGTGTATCTTTGTCAATATGTTTCTAATAATAAGATCGAGAACTTCTTTAACATAACAGTAATACATTTTAATTCAGCGATTTTTGTTAAGAAAAGATATCTCAGGATTTATAGATAATAGAATAATTTTCTTTATTGCTGCTTTACATGTAATAAAATCTTGATTATCTTTGTTTTATAAAATGTAAAAGATTTTTCAAGTAAGCATTATTATAAACTGAATTATTTCTTGAATAAATATGTGCTTTTTATAATAACTATTGTTTCGTTGTAAATGATGCAGAAATTTATTTAAAACAATCTAATCTGAATAATTTAACTTGGTAATATTTTAATAAATGATTTACTTTTTTTTTGTGATAAAAATATGACATAGATTTCGATAAAAAAAGAATCAATATTTATTGAGTTAATCTTAGTTGCATGTGCTTCGCCTGATAGTTTAATCAGGATTAAGTATGATTATCATCACAAGATGAAAATATTATTCTTATATACTTCATTCAAGAAAGCTAAATTTATCTGCATACACAATTCATTTCTTTGCTAGTATATCAGTCAAAGACGATCTATGATATTCCTCCTACGATCACAAATGAGTTCATGACGTTTATTTTCGTCATTTAAATACACATTAGTTGACTATTTTATAGTTTCTATTGAAATAGAAGCAAAAGAAAAGAATTTGCGATATGTACTTTTCGGACAAAAACGAGAAAAAGCACAATCTCATTAATAAAGCATAAACTCGATAGGTTTTTAATATTGTGAAATGCAATTATTCTGTCAAGATTAGTTATATTCTAATATTTATTTAATTAATATAATATATTACAACAAAAAATAATCTGACATTTAAGTATTGATATCTGCTAAGCATTGTTCAATTTCTCTAAATAAATAAAGCTTAATAGTAAATATATGAATTTAATCCTTACTAAAATTGAATTAATAATTCATTTCGTTTTTGTTTTAACACATTCAATATATCATCTGAATTATAATCTTCTATTTCATTTTCTTCATGACTATCATTAGGTATAGTAGATGTTACTTGTGTTAATGTACTTTTATCTGAAGAATAAACTGTTGGTTGTTCAGTGAGTAATGATGATGATGATTCGATTTGAACTAATGGACGATAGCAAACAGATGCATATTGGTCATTATCTCGTGTTGGATAAAGATTGATATCATCAGAAAGATTTGACGCAGTTGAAACTAATAGAGATGTTTGAATACTAGCATTCTATGAATAAAATTCTATTTGCTTGTAATGTCTGTGTAGATGCTTCGGATACAAGAATTGGAGATGACGCTATTACCTGTGTTTCAATAGGTAAATGTATTGGTTCATTATATTGTACTTGTTCAAATCGACGTCGTAAACGCCATTGATGCAAAATATCATTATCACACTGTTCAGTTTTATATTCAACTTTTAATAAAAAAAAAGAAATATACATTCAATTTTTTAACAACTCTATATGTTTTACTAGTTCGATTGAACATTGGTTGACCTGATTGTTCATGTGCAGTAGTTTTTATCATAACAGGGTTAGTGTATGTATCTGACATTTCGACTATATTAGATGAAGGAGTAGTAAATGCTTGATTAAGAAGTAATGATGCTCGTTTATTTAATACTTCATCAATATCATTTTTATACTCTTCATTTTCCTTGTATAGAATGATTATTATTTTGAAGTATTTTTCTTAGACAATGTAACATACCGTCGACGAGTTACCTGCATATTAAATTTAAATGAAACTCTAATTAATTAATTACTTAATCAAAAAAGATCATTATCACATGATTCATTATCGTTGTACATTTTCTTAAAGTTGTCAAGCAACTATCATCTATATATTTCGTTTTTCCTATTATAAATAAATCATAAAAATAAGAATATTAAGTTTATTTTATCTATGCATTACTTTTTTATCTAATGTTCAATAAAATTAATGTAAGATGTCGCCAATTCTTAGTCATCGTGATTGGTGATCGATTTTGAGCTACTCTTATAAGCTTTGCGTCCCATTCGTTCCTTTTATATTTTATGACATATCATCCTGTCAATGCAAAAAATGTAACTATTTATAGACGTTTTCATAATAAACTATTCAAGCATATTGCATTTAAACATTTACCTGTTCTTTCTATCTTTTCTACCGTTTATCAACGATCATACTTGTATTATAATGACAGCAAATAAATCGCATACAATTGTTGAAAGTGTTATAGAAAAAGTTGATTGCATTTATGAACGTTTACGCGATCAAGTAATTCGTATGGGAACATCGACAGGATCAGAATCTCATATATTTTTTGTTTTTGGTGCATCTGTACGTTAGATTTACTTGAAAATAGTATATAATCGTAATATATTTTATATTTATCTTAGGGTGATTTAGCTAAGAAAAAGATTTATCCAACACTCTGGTTTGTAGAAAAAAAACAAACGAAAATAAAAAAAAATTGAATCTTTAATTTTATGGTTTAGGTGGTTGTATCGTGATGGATTTATACCAGAAGGTACACATTTTATTGGCTATGCACGTAGTCAAATAACAACAGAAAAAATATTTGAAAATGCTGCAAAATATATGAAAGTAAAAAAAAAATCTATATCCATTGATAAATATATATACATATATATACTAGGTAAAAGATAATGAACATGATCTATATGAAAAATTTGTGAAACTTAATTCGTATGTTGCTGGTTCATATGATAAAGATGAAGATTTTAAACATTTAACAAATGAAGCTAATCAAATATCGAATCAAGAGAGTGCACATCGATTATTTTATTTAGCATTACCGCCGAGTGTTTACGGAAGTGTATCTGAGTTGATTAGTAAACATTGTCGACCAAAATCGTATGATAATATTTTTAGAAATTTTTTATGATGTATGAAATATTTTGTTTTGTCTAGACCTGGTTGGATGCGTTTAATTGTTGAGAAACCATTTGGAAAAGATCTTGAAAGCTCAAATAAATTATCTGAACATTTAAATAAATTCTATACGGAAGAAGAAATCTATCGTATTGATCATTATTTAGGAAAAGAAATGGTACAAAATATAATTGTACTTCGATTTTCTAATCAAATTCTATCACGAGTTTGGAATCGAGATTCAATTGCAGCTGTTAATATTATTTTTTAAAGAAGATATTGGTACACAAGGAAGAGGCGGATATTTTGATGAATTTGGAATTATTCGGTATGAAGAAAATATTTTAATAATCATATATAAATACCCAAAGGATTGCATATCAATAATAATAGAATGTGACCTAATGTTTTTTTCTGACATTATGAGGGAAAAGAAATAATTAAAGTTAAGGAAATAATAAATATATTCTCTTTCTCGTAGAGAAGAGTCCAGTGAACATAAATTGTTTGTTTGTTTGTTTGTCTGTCCGCACGATCAAAAAAACATCGAAAATAATTTTTTCGAAATAGACATTTCTAGAGGTATTCCGATGCAGGGAGTTCGAATCTGAGGTCTATTGGGTGACCATGATGAGGTGGGTGGACGAGGATCAGTAAAAAGTCATAAAAACATCGAAAACTAATTTTTCACGGTTTTCATTTGTTCTTCCAGTAAATGTGAAGGAAATGCATTTCAACGAGAAAGAGCTAAGCGAGTCCTCGGATGAGCGTTACTTGTTTATTTATTTTTAAGAGATGTTATACAAAATCACCTAATGCAAATTTTATCTATTGTTGCAATGGAAAAACCACGTTCAACGAAAGGTGAAGATATTCGTGATGAAAAAGTGAAAGTATTACGTTGTATAGCTCCAATAAAACCAGAAGATGTTGTTATTGGACAATATACTGGTGATAAAAATTCAAAAGACCCAGAACGTCAACAAGGATATTTAGATGATAAAGGTGTACCAAAAGATTCAACTACACCAACGTTCGCACAAGTCGTGATTTTTATTAATAATGAACGTTGGGCTGGTGTACCATTTATTCTTCGAGCAGGTATTTTGTTTTTCTTCTTCTATTGATAATACGAATAAATTAATCTGTCTGTCTTTTATTAAGGTAAAGCATTAAATGAGAAGAAAGCTGAAATACGTATACAATTTCGTAGTACACCTGGTGGAATGTTTGATGATGATAATCATGGAAGTGATCCAAATGGTAAATTAGCTCGTGATGAACTTGTTATACGTGTTCAACCAAATGAAGCTATTTATCTTAAATTAAATACAAAACGACCTGGTGAAATGGGTTTTAGTATAGAAGAAACTGAATTAGATTTAACGTATGGTAATCGTTATAAAGGTGTTAAATTACCTGATGCATATGAACGTTTAATACTTGATGTATTTATGGGTTCAAAAATAAATTTTGTACGTTCAGATGAATTAGAACAAGCATGGCGTATTGTTGATCCGATACTTGAAGAAATTGATAAGAAAAAAATTCCAGTTATTCCATATACATTTGGTAGTAATGGATTAAATGAAGCATTTGATGCTGCTAGAAAACATGGTTATATTTTTCGTGGTACTTATGTTTGGAAAGATGAACGATCTTCATCAGAAACAAATAAAGAAGTAACAAAAGTTGAAGATAAAAAATAAATTTAGTCATTGCTGATAGAACAAAATATTTCTCATATGACTTGGATCTGCTTTTTTTTTGTATTGTCCGTTACATAATACGCATTTTATTTTTTTTTAATATTTCTATTAGCTTTTTGTCATTTCTCAAATAAACTCATCTAATATTTAATATTATTTTTCAATTATGATGTTAATAATAGTACGATATATATTGCTCTTCTTCAATTTATAACAAATAGACACATGAATTAAACGGAAGATTTAATAAAAAAAACTTGCGACTATGGATATTAATTTTTTATTTCAGATACTTGGTATAATTTATTTGAATAAAAATAATGATTAATAAGGATAAACTTCCAAAAGTAGCTAATGTTGATCGTGAAACAGAATATGGTTATGTCTTTGGTGTTTCAGGTCCAGGTATAAATTAATCTTGATCTATTAAGAAATCAATTTATTTTTCTAGTTGTTATTGCTAATTGTATGTCTGGTTCAGCAATTAATGAATTAGTAAGATTGTGTAAAACAAAAATCGATTTTTATGGTAAACTATTTATTTTTATAGGTTCGAGTCGGTCATGAAGAATTAGTTGGAGAAATTATTCGTTTAGAAAATGATTTAGCAACTATTCAAGTTTATGAAGAAACATGTACGGAAGATAAAGAAATAAAATTTTTAAAATATATATGAATATTTATTTAGCTGGTGTTAGTGTTGGTGATCCAGTTTTACGAACAGGTAAACCATTATCTGTTGAACTTGGCCCGGGAATTATGTCAAGTATATTCGATGGTAAGTTTTGTTTCTTTATATGTAACTAAAATTTTGTTTTATTCTAGGTATTCAACGACCACTTCAAGTCATTTATGATCGTACTAAGAGTATTTATATTCCGCGTGGCATCAATGTACCTGCATTGAATCGTTCAATATCATGGAATTTTACTCCAGAGAAACGTCTTCGAGTATGTATATTTTATTTTAATAACAGAAAAAGAATTACTTTTGTGTATATATTAGGTTGGTAGTCATATAACAGGTGGTGATATATTTGGTGTTGTACCAGAGAATCAAATGATTAAGCATCATATAATGCTTCATCCAAAAGCAAAAGGTACAATAACATACATAGCACCCGAAGGAAATTATACACTCGATGTTTGTTAAATGAATTTTTTGATTTTTCTTATAATATGAATTCGGTAAATAGGATGTTATCCTCGAAACAGAATTTTGTGGAGAAAAAACAAAACATACAATGTTACAAGTATGGCCTGTACGAATAATGCGTCCAGTAGCTGAAACACTTGCTCCTAATTATCCATTATTGACTGGTCAACGTATATTAGATTCGTTATTTCCGTATGTTATTATGGTTTTTCATTATATAGAACTAATTGAAATATTTAGATGTGTACAAGGTGGTACAACAGCTGTACCAGGTGGATTTGGTTGTGGCAAAACTGTTATTTCTCAAGCACTTTCGAAATTTTCTAATAGTGATGCTATTGTTTACGTTGGTTGTGGTGAACGTGGAAATGAAATGGCTGAAGTATTACGTGATTTTCCTAAAGTAAAACAATTGAATTACTGATTTATTTGTTAATGAAAAAACATTATTTCTTTTTAAGTTGAAAATGGAAGTTGATGGTAAAGAAGTATCAATTATGGAACGAACAACATTAGTTGCGAACACATCCAATATGCCTGTTGCCGCTCGTGAAGCTTCCATTTATACAGGTTAATCTTTATAATAAATATTAAACGATATAATTAATGCACGTAATATATTTGAGATGAGATGATGAAAACAAAGTATATAGATAATCAGAGTCCGTCAGGTTCGATATATTCTAGTTTTCTTTAGACCTGAATTAAAACTATATGATTGCCGTTTTCAATAAAATGTTTTTGTATTCGAATCTAAGAATCATTATGAAAGTAAAAGGTAGTATTTATATCGATAATTGATTTACGCTGCATATATTTCAAGTGAACTTATAATAATTTGCTTTTGCTGCATGACATTCAAAAAACTATCACTTTTGCTCTACTTTCACTTATCAGTACTCATATATTATAGGTATTACTTTATCCGAATATTTCCGTGATATGGGATATAATGTTGCGATGATGGCTGATTCAACATCACGTTGGGCTGAAGCTTTACGTGAAATATCTGGTCGTTTAGCTGAAATGCCTGCTGGTTAGTTTATTTTTTATTTTCAATTAAAACAAAATCTTATTATATATATTTTGTTTGTTCATAGACTCAGGTTATCCAGCTTATCTAAGTTCTCGTCTAGCTTCATTTTATGAACGTGCTGGTCGTGTTCGATGTTTGGGTAATCCAGAACGTGAAGGTTCTATAAGCATTGTTGGAGCGTAAATATATCTTAATTATTAGAAATGAATAGTTTAATAATTTATCTTTTTTTTTGCAAGTGTTTCTCCACCAGGCGGTGATTTTACTGATCCAGTTACATCAGCAACAGTAAATATTGTTCAAGTCTTTTGGGGTTTAGATAAAAAATTAGCACAACGTAAACATTTTCCATCGGTTAATTGGCTTCTATCATATAGTAGATATACAGGCGCACTTGAAGATTATTATGATAAAAATTATCCTGACATTACACCATTACGTGCTAAAGTAACAACTTTTTTATTAATAAAAGATAAGGAATGATTTAATTTAGTGTCGAGAAATTCTACAAGAAGAAGAAGATCTTTTCGACATCGTACAACTTGTTGGTAAAGCTTCATTGGCTGAAACAGATAAAATTATATTGGAAATAGCTCGAATAATAAAAGAAGATTTTCTACAACAAAATGGTTGTTCAACTTATGATCAGTACGAAAATTCTATTTCTTTTTATTCATTATTATACATATGTATGCATATCTAGATATTGTCCATTTTATAAGTGTGTTGCAATGCTTCGTAATATAATTACTTTCTATGATTTGGCACGACATGTTGTTGAGAAAACATCACAATCAGAAAAGAAAATAACATGGAATGATATCCGAACTAATCTATCAAACATTCTATATGAATTAAGTAGTATGAAATTTATGGTAAAATTCTTTGATTATTTTTATTATTTGTAAAAACAAATGAAATATTTAGGATTCAACAAAAGTTAGCGAAGGAACAATAAAACGTGATTTAGACGAACTTAATGAACGTATACAAGCAGCATTTCGTGATATGATTGATGATTAAATTTTTTTATTTAATTGTGATAATAATTTTATATTTTCATACAAATTGTGATAATGGTTTTATATTTTATTTTTATTTAATCGTGAGAATGATTTTATATTTTTATTAAATAATATTTTGCAATTCCGATCTGAAAATTAAACATTAACAAAAAGCTCATTACGAAAATATCAAATTCTTCCAAAAAAACGATTATTTTATGCATAGCATATAGTTATTCATACTAAAATAACATTAATTTATGAATAAAAACATATTTATGACAACTATGAATCACTTGATATTTCGTTTTTCTTATTGATTGATTCGAAACTTAATTCTTCCTGTTTCTATTTGACTAACGTTATTAAAATTTGTTTCTAACTCTCGTCATGGTTAAATAATAAAAGATTACAAAAGGAAACTTTAGATGATATATATGTGTACCGAAATTGAAAAAAAATGACACGCACAAATACAAAGAAAAAGAAAAAAATGTCGGATAGAAATATAAAATATTCTTTTTCGTTCGCGCGACGTGCGCATTTTCAAAACGCATCATAAATAATACAGTGTAGTATGCTATCAGTTTAATCATATAATATTTAGACTCATCATTATATCGACTATTGTTAAATATATAGAATCATTGAATATTTATGGCTAAGGTAAACAAATCCCAATGATTCTTTCATCTATTGTTTCAAATTTTCTATCTAGATATTTCTATACACTCTCTTACTGATTTGTACACTCAATCAAGCTTCATCAGAATATCCTGATGGTAACGAAGGTTAGATAACAATAAAAAAATATGTTTGTTTTACAATTAATATGTATATTAGAAATTATGATTGCCTCTAATCGTCTTCATAGAGGAACGGATCAACTTAAACGTCGTGTTAATCCATTAGTTAATGTTATGAAATCTTCATCATATAATCAATTTAAACGAAATCAACAACCAGTATTATACGAACAACAAGAAGCTGAACCAGATACATTCTATGTTCAAATGAACATTGATTCAGATGTAGATGTAGATGAAGATGAACCATTAGAAACTAAATATGTTGATGTAATTATAGATACAAAACGAAATGTAAATACATATTCATATAATAGAAACGGATAAAATTTATTTTCGAATAGAAATTATAAACATTAATGATTAATTATATGGTATATATATTCAATTGAATGAATTTTATTATATTTCTTAAAAAACTTGATTTGTTTACTTCTTTTTTTTCTTAAATAAATTCAATGAAAGTTAATAGATTTCGAATGTATTGTATATAGAGAAAAAGCTTTCAGCTTTAATTCTAGTCGAAAAAAAGTAAATTGACACCAATAAGATAACTTAACAAATCAAGGTCAAATATTGATTCGTTTTCTATGTCTGCACAAATCAATGCTTTGAAGGACATGGAAATTTTTCGAATTTAATCTCTTTTCTCTGTCTTTTTCTTATTTTTTATTTTATAACTAGAGTTTCAATCATGTTGATTCTGTTTTGCTAAATGTATCTATTGTTTAACCTTTGAAAATATAATCAGTTTTCATTACATGTAATAACAATAGTATAATTACTGTTGTATTATTAATATTGCCGAGTTATGAAATAAAATCAATAGACATTCTAAACAATTGGCCGGACTTAGGACTATATTTAAATAGAATTGTGTAAGGTAAGATGACAAGAAGTGTATTTCTATTAAATTAAATAACACTCAAATCTACGTCTGACCTAATGTGTAACCTGAATTCCAATAAAATCTAGATTTCTAATTACATAATCAAAACT